ACTGCAAGGGATTCCGGGTAAGCATGTGCAAAGAGCTCAACAAAGAACCACGTTTTTGCCTCATAATTCCACTTTATACATGGATTCCTTGAAGTATGTGTCTGCTGTATAGAACAGCTTTGAAACACAACTCAGGAAGAGGAGCAAAGCCAGTGAACCATTCATGGACAGCCATTTCGTTGTTAATGCAACTCATCAGCATGAGGTTGGTTACTGGCTTGCTATAGAGGCTTGGAGCTACTAGTGAAGTACATACCAGAAGAGTTGTGATGGGGAAAAAAGTGTGGATGAAAACCCAACACTTTCTTCCCCCACTCCAACTCTTTTGGGTGTGTGTGTATGTATTTATAAACACACACCATATATACTCACTTTTCTGAGATATACATATTTTTGTAAATATATTTATGTGACAATAGTGAAGAAAGGACATGCTGCTACAATGTAAAGTAGTAACTGTACAGCCTGTATAACAGTGTAAATTTGCTGTCCTCTCAAAATAAGTCCACACACAGCCATTAATGTCTAAACCATTGGTAACAAAAGTGAGTACACCCCTAACCCTTTGTACAGCGCTACGGAATCTGATGGCGCTCTATAAATAATAAAATAATAAGTGTAAATGTCCAAATTGAGCCTAATTAGCCATTTTCCCTACCCGGTGTCATGTGACTTGTTAGTGTTACAAGGTCTCAGGTGTAAATGGGGAGCAGGTGTGTTAAATTCAGAGTTAACACTCTCACACTCTCTCATACTGGTCACTGGAAGTTCAACATGGCACCTCATGGCAAAGAACTCTCTAAGGATCTGAAAAAAAAAAAAAGAACTGTTGCTCTACATAAAGATGGCCTAGGCTATAAGAAGATTGCCAAGACCCTGAAACTGAGCTGCAGTACGGTGAGCAAGACCATACAGTGGTTTCACGGGGCAGGTTCCACTCAGAACAGGCCTCGCCATGGTTGACCAAAGAAGTTGAGTGCATGTGCTCAGCATCATATCCAAACGTTGTCCTTGGGGAATAGACGTCTGAGTGCTGCAGAGGTTGAAGGGGTGGGGGTCAGCCTGTCAGTGCTCAGACCATACGCCGCACACTGTATAAAATTTGTCTGCATGGCTGACAAGCCTCTTCTAAAGATGATGCACAAGAAAGCCTGCAAACAGTTTTCTGAAGACAAGCAGACGAAGGACATGGATTACTGAAAGCATTTCCTGTGGTCTGATGAGACCAAGATAAACTTATTTGGTTCAGATGGTGTCAAGCATGTGTGGCGCAACCAGGTGAGGAGTACAAAGACAAGTGTGTCTTTCCTACAGTCAAGCATGGTGGTGGACGTTTCATGGTCTGGGCCTGCATTAGTGCTGCCGGCACTGGGAAGCTACAGTTCATTGAGGAAACCATGAATGCCAAAATGTACTGTGACATACTGAAGCAGAGCATAATCCCCTCCCTTCAGAGAATGGGCCGCAGGGCAGTATTCCAACATGATAACGACCCTAAACACACCTCCAAGACTACCACTGCCTTGCTAAAGAAGTTGAAGGTAAAGGTGATGGACTGGCCAAGCATTTCTCCAGAGGGAGCGCAAGGTCTCTAACATCCACCAGCTCAGTGATGTTGTCATGGAAGAGGACTCCAGTGGCAACATGTGAAGCTCTGGTGAACTCCATGCCCATGAGGGTTAAAAGCAGTGCTGGAAAATAATGGGTGCCACACAAAATATTGACACTTTGGGCCCAATCTGGACATTTCCCCTTAGGGGTGTACTCACTTTTGTTGCCAACGGTTTAGACATTAATGGCTGTGTGTTGTTATTTTGAGGGGACAGCAAATTTACACTGTTATACAGCCTGTACACTTACTACTGTACATTGTAGCAGAGTGTTATTTCTTCACTGTTGTCACATGAAAAGATATAATAAAATATTTACAAAAATGTGAGGGGTGTACTCACTTTTGTGAGATATTGTGTATTATATATATTTTTTTCCCCTTTTTCTTTAACAACCATAATCCTTGGGTATGTTATACATACCTCTAGACTGTAAGCTTGTTTGAGCAGGGTCTTCAACTACCTATTGTTCCTGTTACATTTTGTTCTTGTCTCATTTGGTAAATTCCCCTTTTATTGTAAAGCACTGCGGAATAAGCTGGCGCTATATAAATACCAGTAATAATAACAATATTGTACCAAGCTTACAATTAAGTGCAATGTAACATACTAACAGACAAATGCACACATATTTCCAGTAGTGTAAAAATACTGCCATTTATATAATGGTTTAGCGAGTAAACATCTATAAACCGCAGCACAGTAACAAAGTTGCAGTTTGGATTAATGTGTAATATATTTTGGACACACAAAATCAATAATTATATGCAGTGAAGTAGGACTAAGTGTGCCATCACTAATGACCAGGTGGTAGCAATTGTAGACTTTAACCCCTTCAAAATGCCACCAAAACTTGTGGGTAAGGCTTGAATGTTACAGATATTGAACATTGATATGTCAGAAGGAGAAGAAACTAGGAATGTGATGCAGTACTGAATATGAGTGGTGACATAATGTGTCTGAAGTGGATGAGCAAGCATAATTCAGATTCACAGCTGAGACTCCTGGACATTTATGAAGTTTCTGGTGCTGGTGAGTCAAATTTATATTTGCATTGTTCAGAGAGGCCACCTTTAAGCCCACTGTTCAGATATCCCGTACGTAATATATCAATTTCCGTAAGCTAGGAGACTCAGAATACTTTCAATAAAGTACGGTAACATAGAAACATTGAATGTGACTGCAGATAACCATTCGGCCATTATGAGCAGATATCTAAGAGGCAATGTCAGAAGGATATCTTAGAGTGTGTAGTGTAGAAAAAGAGAGCTAAAGAAGGTGTCAATTCAGTTGATGTATTGCAGTGTGTCAGAACATGTGAAGTTGGAGACGGGGAACTTTTTTCAGCTTTAGGAGGTCGTCTGAAGGTACGAGATATCTGCTTGTATGACTATTTCAAGGGTAATTTCAAGTGGACAGTCAAACGTCAGTTGACTAATTTAGAAGGCCCGAGAAAATATTTATTAATATGAAAAAAATATGATATGTCATCAAATATCTTAATACTGAACCAACTCTGTTCCTCTTGAAAGACATTTCTTGTGAATGTTTAATGAGTATGTCTTCACAGCTCTAGTTAAGCTTGAATATGTATTGAACAAAGTCTTGTATCTATCCTTAAGAAAGGAAGACTGTAAAACCAAATTTCGTGGATATAATTATAAGGTTGAATATGTTCAACATAAGAGATTTACAAAATGATGTTTGCCCACTTAAACTAACTTAGTTTGTTTCATTTATAGAATAAATAAAACCCAAAGATCAAGCTTTATTAAAATACAGTTTACTAGTGGTTTAAAAAGCATACAGATTATCCTATCAAGTTATCATGATGTGGTACTGATTTTCAATATACACTTTAGTTAACGGAACACTATATGGTCAGGAACACAAACATGTATTCCCCCCTGGCCCCCTAAATATAGTACAATCAAGTCTGCAGCTGCTGGCTCTGCCCCTGATCTGCCTGCTTGGCTGACATCATCAGAAGTGATTCTCTGAGCCAATCACAATGCTCTCCCATAGGATTGGCTTAAACTGTCAAGTAGGCAGATCAGGGGAAGAGCCAGCACAAGCCAAACACAGCCCTGGCCAATCAGCATTTCATCATAGAGATGCATTGAATCATGCAGAGGGTGGAGACACTGAATGTCATCCACACAGTGACTAATCAGCACTGCCCCAGGAAGCTCCTCTAGCAGTCATCCCTAGGCTGTAATGTAGACACTTCATTTTCTCTCAAAAGACAGTGTTTACTGCAAAAAGCCTACTCAACAGCACAAATACAATAAGCTGTAGTTGTTCTGGTTACAATAGTGTCCCTTTAATTCACATTGTTTAGTTGTACTTAAATAAACTACGGAGATAGCAATCAGGATTCGGCTCATGAAAAGATCTAAATCTGTTATCATTTTCTAAGGGATGTATGTTTCACCCTTATATATTTAGCTAGCTTTAATTGAATGGTAGAACATATAAAAATGAATTGCAATATAACAGCCATATAAATAGATCTATATTAAATATATGAAAGTATACTAAAATGATCTATTCAAAGTTACTCTCTTAAAATATGTATGAAAAACTTATTTCAAGGCTGCAATTAATTTTAGCATTTCATTTGCAGCCAACACTTATTGAAGTATGCTCTACAGTACATCATCTCACACAATATATGCAAGGTTTTTCTTTCATACTTTCTGTATAAACACAACTGCTTCAGGTTTGAATTATTAATAAAGCCATATACTTGCAGAAACCACACTTTCAAATTTTAGTCTTTTAGGAATAGCATTTTAACTTATGACAAATTCAAAACATTTCCATCTCAAACTTAATTCAAAAATAAATGTTCTTAGAAATACATTTAAATGGTCCCATGGTACTCTTCATTCACTTCCAATTTCCTCAGAGTCAGGAAAAATTTCATCTTTACTTTCTGTTTTTTCTTCACCTTTGCCATTTCCTCTTTGAATATCTTTATCACTTTTGAGAAGTGAATCACTGACTGAAAACTTACGCATTTTGATGTTTGGCAGCTTTTTCAGATCCAAATCCCAGTCCCTAAAAAAAATAATAAAAAAAAAAAAAAATAACCCCAAATGATTTATTAATTCATCACAACTGTACAAAGTTGTCTAAGAAAATGTTTGAAGCATTATACCCATGAGAATGCCATGGTTATTAGCAATGTTAGTGTCATCGAATGCCAACAAACTGCTCAAATTCAGATATATACAAACTGCTTTTCCAGGTTCCACATAACAAATAAACACACCAACTTTTCTAATCTAGAGATGAAGGTGAAACATAGATGTAAATACAGACACAAAATAGGCAGATTCTAGTATGTATAAAAACTCTAATGTAAGGTACGCTGTGCCTTTAAGACAAAGTTACATAAAGTGCCACAAGTGCTGTGCAACATGTTATTTATATAAAGTACAAAAAGTAATTAATTTACATATACTGTGCACAAATGTGTATAAATGTGATGAAATATACAAAACACTCACTTATACATATATATATATGTAAGTCCTTTCCAAATACCATAAAAAGAAGAGAGAAACAATAATAGTGTAAATTCGTTACATAAAAAACACAAATGATAATATGTAAAGTGTTCACTCACAAAAGTAGATCAGAGAAAGCTGCTCTAACTGTAACAGCTTCCAGAAATGATCCCTCCTGGGATAAAAAAAACGGCAGAGACAAGACGTTCTACTTCACAATTTTATGGCAGGACAGGAGGCTTCATATTTGCTTTACCTTCTTTACTGAAACCTCCAGCAGCAAAGAAACAGTTAACAGAACTTTTCAAAACAACCAATCAGAACAAAGCAACAGTAGTATAAAACCCCTAAGCAGGCTCTTCCACTTCCTCTTTCTTTGCTGCTGCCTACAGGTGAGCACTCACCAACTCAGAGTTGTCTCTGCTCTTGGTTGTTGTTTTATCCTACATGCTGCTTGTTTATTTAAACAGTCTATTTAATCAGTCTATTTGCTAAGTTTGTTCAGGCAGCTTAATTGCTGGTTTTATTTAGGCAGGGTTCTTGCTGGATTTAGCTAGGCAGTCTATGGCTGTGTTTAGCTAGGCAGTCTATTGCTGGATTTATCTAGGCAGTCTATTGCTGTGTTTATCTAGGCAGTCTATTGCTGTGTTTAGCTAGGCAGTCTATTGCTGGTTTATCTAGGCAGTCTATTGCTGTATTTATCTAGGCAGTCTATTGCTGTGTTTATCTAGGCAGTCTATTGCTGTGTTTATCTAGGCAGTCTATTGCTGTGTTTAGCTAGGCAGTCTATTTTGTGTTATTTCCTATACCACTTCATGCTATGTAGCTGCTGTATCACTTGTTAACATCTGTTGCTGTATTGAGGCTATTTATCTGATAGATTCTGTATACTGCTCATTGATTTATTGTTATTCTGGGTTACTTTATTCTGTTTTCTCACTCTGCTGTATGGGGAATGGGTGCCCCTGCTATGATGCTTTGGCTCTGCCTGTAATCTGTTCCCCCTCCCCGGGTTCCCCTGCTGGGCTCTGTCGCCCATACCCTTCTCCCTTGTTCCCCACCTGCTCCCTGTGGCCCCTGGCCGCTTGCTGAGCAGCCTTTTCTACCGTGGCAGTGCCGCACGATCACCACGCGGTAGGCCGCGCTCTGTTTTTGCAGCCACGGCAGCCATTTTGTTGGAGCCGCGGCGGCCATTTTTCAGAGCCACATGGGCTCTGTGCGTTGCAAACAGCCAGGTCTCACCCAAGAACTGGCCTGCTGGCCATGTGGCCACCCTCCCCTCTCCCTATATCAGGGGAGATAGCCCAGTTTTTCAGCTATCCCTCTACTTACTGTGCCTGTCTCACATGCTGCATATGTAACAGATCCTGGATAGCAGGATCTGTCCCAGGCACGCTCACAACTGCAGCTTACTATGTCTGATGCAATGTGACTAGGTTCTCTATCTTAGCAGTAGACTTGTCACACTTTTTTTACTATTACATGTGAATCTCAGATTTAAAGGGACATGTTACTGCTCAAATTAAAATCTTTGTTTAACAAGAATGTGCCACATGTGTTATATGCTAATCAAGTCTTCCTCTAAGGTTCAGTCTTTTTCTCATAAAAATTAAATGGCCTGTTTTTCAGCACCTAGCTCCCCTGCCTAGGATTTGCTGCCCTTCCTGCAAGGGACTTAAATTTTCCACTACACATACACTTCAAAAGTGTATCCTAATATAATACCTGAGTGGTCTGTGAGTCAGCTTCTCGCTATATGGACCCTCCTACCCCTCAGCTGGGCTACTGGCCCCACATTCAGACCTGTTATTACTGGGGGGTGAACCCCCCCCCATCCATATTTCTGGGGCTCTACCTGCTACTGGACCATAATAATGGACGTGTGACACCATTGTGGGCTGGGTGACCCCCTCCCTCTGGCAACATGGCTACCTATGAGTACCCTGCTGGCTCTACAGCGTCCTGTAAGATTAATGCTGAGGGTGACCCCCTCCTGCTTCCTATACTAATGCTCCGGCAATGTCCTGCTATTATCATACCGAGGGGGTACCCCTCCTGCAGTCTGCACTGCTGGACCTGCAGCGTCCGGGTATTCCCATAAAAGAGGGTACCCCTCCCACTGATTGAGCTTCTGTTCTTACAGTGCCCTGCAATACGCAGATACTGAGGGTGACCCCCTCCTGTGGACTACTCTGCTGGACCTACAGGGTCCCGTTATAACCATAATGAGGGTGACCCCCCCTCGCTGACTACACTGCTGGGTGTACAGACCTCTATGATACCACACTGAGGGTGACCCCCTCTTACCTACAGCACTGCTGGATCTGCAATGCCCGGTTCTGGTTATATGAGGGCGACCCCCTCCTGCCGTCTACACTGCTGGACCGGCAATGTTTGGTTAGTTTATTATACGGCTAACCACTTCGGCACTATTGTACCTACAGTGTCCGATTATGTTCAGACTGAGGGTGACCCCCTCCCCTGCTGGCCTAAACTGCATGGTATGCTTGTGCTTGTTGGGTGACCCCCTCTTGCACGCTGGGTGACCCCCAGCTGGCCGCACCACTGTACCTACAGTGTCCGATTATGTTTAGACTGAGGGTGACCCCCTCCCCTGCTGGCCTATACTGCATGGTATGCTTGTGCTTGTTGGGTGACCCCCTCTTGCACACTGGGTGACCCCCAGCTGGCCACACCAGGTATCATTTGTGCAATCACGGCTGAAGGACAAATCTCCCGTACCCAGAAGGTCACTTGGCCTGTCCTCTTGCCGCCCCGCTGACCTCACTGCCAGAAACCATCGGTGCCCTACGGGGACACTCCACCGGCCATCCTAGACGCTACACCAAGCACCCCTGGTACTCGTTGGCTAACGGATGGATTCATCAAGAGGATCAGTCTTCATGACGGAGTCCGGAAAGGACACCGCAAACACCTGACACAGGGTTTGCACTCTATCTGGGACTAACCAGTGGATGTCGGTGACACGCGGACACAGATGTTTCCTTGGGACGAACGGCACGTTACCGCTTGGAAAGCGGAGAAGACTAAATTCCCACTGGGAATGGACCGATATGACTTATAGGTATCGCCTAGTTGGTTTCTACCCCTGAGAACCGCAAAACGGCCCCTGTCCAAGCTGGACATCAAACTGATGGATTTAGCATCCAAGTGCTGGGTCTGCTCTCCGGAGTTACCCTCGTGTACAAATTGAGCCGACATGTCTCTATTCATAGGGTTCCCCCTTAACTAGCCCCAGAGGTCTCTCTGGCCGTGCCCGGACTCCAGATCAAGGTTGCAGAACCTTGGACCGTTCCATGAGCGATACGCATGACCAAAAGAGGCATCCATTCCGACTCATTCCGCAGTTGCCCTGTTGGGCAAAGGGTGCGGTGGAGTGGACTCCCGCCCCATCCCCACGCTACATGCTCCCAGTGCATGTCGTCTGTTGACACATTTTGAGACGGAGAGCACTCATCCCCTCTGAGAGCTGCTCGGCGTTGATGATTGGTTCTCTCCCTCAAATGCACATGAGAGAAACCCGCATGGATTTTGCCATCAACATGGACATATTGAATCTGACTCACTCCAAGTCAACCCAGTTTCCGGTCTTTCATGGAATATTCGGTCCAGGCGGTGCTCCGCCTCCCGAGGACCAAGATGTCCGTCTTCAAGGAAAATACCAGGTATATGCTTCGCAACCTGCGGGTTACACTTAGGGGCCCAACCCGGTTAATTGACCGGTGCCTATTTGCCATGGAAGCCATACCTCAAGGATCCGGTACTATCAGCCGCTCCAACATGGCGCTTTCTCGGGTCTTTGGCCTGGTATGACCAAATCGGATGAAGCTCATCTAAGACTTAATTGATGACTCCGGAGGAGGGACTCCTTTACGCCAACTGCATGGAACTACCTGCAGGTTTGTTCAACATTCACAGTATTGCTCGCTACCTTCCGGCATGGACTTCTCACCGGTTGCCCACTACGGACTGCAGTCGGATCTCACATAGGGTCGCTATCTATAGCTTCTGGACAAGTATTCGTCATTTGTGACAGAATGTATGCGGGACCAGACACTTGTGTGGTGGACGGCTTCACCCGGCCATGGAGAGACCCCAATGATTGGTTGCCTCACCCTCCAGGGTCTCGAGTACTGGCATGATTACATTCGGTGCGAACCGCCATATGGAGCGGTTCTCCAACTGGCTGCCGGACCCTCAGCGAGGCGAGGGACGAGTTTTCCAAGCTTGGTCTCCTTCGGGGCGTACGCATCCCGTTTACCTACAGGATACTTTGGGTTTTGCTTCAGACCGAATTCCTGGAAGTGTCGTTTCGCCTGGCCAAACCACTTCGGAGGAGTCCTGCGTGCTTTCCCCTTTTTGCTGGAGTTTGCCATGGGAAGGCAATCTACGACTCCCTGTCTCTTAATGTCCCACTTGGGATCCACAGGGGTAGCCTGCCACGACTTGTGTTTGGGTCCCAATGGCGGTCCTTATCATGGCTGTCCCCATTGTCTGGCTGAGTTGCCCTCTCAGGGTAGGATCGTATGGGGCCATTCACGTCCTATGTCAGCTAGTGGACGACTCGTGTGTTTTCTCAAGATTCTGGCATTGCTAAGGATCTCTTAGTCTGCAGTCTACCAAGAGGAGTATACCGTACGGGAGCCCTATCTCTCGACAGTTTTTTCCGCTTACGGTTTCCCCCCAGTACATCTTGTATTTCATCGCGTTCTGACGTCATGGTATCGACGTGTCTTCTTCCTTCTTGCCGTTCAGTACATCGGCTTCTGCACAACACATATTTCATTTTTATTCGTCCTCTGTGTCGTACCCCTATTCTCCGGATAGGCCACAGCTCTGTTGACAGATTGTACACGACCATGTAGATCCAGGATCTGGTTCTTTCGTCCGTCTACTCATGGACAGCTGTTTATTTCTGCGTACGGCCGTTTTGGACTGTTTCTGCATCTTCGCTCGCCCGTTGGATTTGGTGGATCCTCTCATTGACTGACCTTGAGTTCCTCTGGGACACTTTTGGTTCGGGGTGCTGTCACCTCAACAATTTTGGAAGCCGTTGGGTCCCTTCTGCATTTTCTCTACACCGCTGCTTGGTTTAGGGAATCAGTTTTTCCATTCTCCTTTATTTCAGTCCTCTATCTCATATTGCTTCTGGTTCTACTATTTGGGTGTTAAAATTGCAAATATGAAGCCTCCTGTCCTGCCATAAAATTAGGGATTATTCTAGCCTCGGTGAGGGAATAATCTAAATTTTATTAAAGACAGGAGGCGAATATTTCCCCCCCTTTTTTTACGTTCCCTCCCTGGATCTGGGTTTTATTCTATTATAAATAATTGGGGATATTGTTATGTTTTGTGAATGCATGGTTTTACATAATAAAGGTTATTTCTAATATTCAGTGATGGTTGTCCGTGTGTTTTATTCATCATGTTTGTGTTGTAATTATGTTTCGTCAATGCCTTTTTAGCTTAGGTACATACTAGGTCTTCATAAGATCTGTAGACTTTGTTTATTCATCAGGTATTATGATGTGAAAGTGATATTGTATGGATATGACATCTTGCCTTGACAGTTTACTTTCACGATGTTTTCTGTTTTCTTGCAGTGTACGATTGTTTCTCTGGATGTGTCTGCTACAAGGTGGATTCGTTGGTTTCCTTGCTCTCCTGCTCGACCTCATCAAAGAAAGAGGAAGTGGAAGAGCCTGCTTAGGGGTTTTATACTACTGTTGCTTTGTTCTGATTGGTTGTTTTGAAAAGTTCTGTTAACTGTTTCTTTGCTGCTGGAGGTTTCAGTAAAGAAGGTAAAGCAAATATTCGCCTCCTGTCTTTAATAAAATTTAGATTATTCCCTCACCGAGGCTAGAATAATCCCTAATTTTATTGCACAAATGTTAGCAGCTTACTCCTCCTTTCCTCCGTATAGCAGAAATGCCAGTTCAATAGTCACAGTATGAGTGCCGGCTAGTTTCTCCTGTGAGAAGCCGAAAACGCAGCAGGCAAAGACTCCTGGGGGGCGGAGTTACCACACTGCAAACTTCCCAAATGTGTGCTCTTATGTGGTACGTGGTCAGCGTGATGACGCGTTTCGCCATGTTCACGGCTTCATCAGATCTACTTTTGTGAGTGAACACTTTACAGGTTATCATTTGTGTTTTTTATGTAACAGATTTACACTATTATTGTTTTTCTCTCCTTTTTATGGTATTTGGAGAGGACTTATATATATACGTATAAGTGAGTGTTTTGCATATTTCATCTCATTTATACACATTTGTGCACAGTATATGTAAATTAATTATGTTTTTCACTTTATATAAATCACATGTTGCACAGCACTTGTGGCACTTTATGTAACTGTCTTAAAGACACAGCGCACCTAATTTTGGAGTTTTTATAGTTTGTGTGTTGTTTTGAGCTTAACACTATTTAAGGTGAAGCTTCTTTTAATAAGATTCTTGGTATTAATATTTGTATTATTCTTAGACAATAGTACTAGCGCCTATATTTTCACTTGTTCCGTGTTCTTGTTTTGATAGATTCTAGTATGTATGACAAAATCAATGTAGGCATGATAAAAAATATTTATCTTTAAGATTGCTTTTACTTTTTCAAAAAGGCTGAGGAAATGCACTGCATCAGCCTATACAGTTTGTGGAAGCATCTGGCTGGTTTCTCAGATAATGTGTGTGTGTCAATTGTGAATAACTTCAACAAGGACAGATAAAGTCAGGGAGAGAGTATCAGGCTAGAAACATTATAGGGGTTAACCAGTAGTGGTATTCAAATATTTTAGTAGCCAGTTCCGACTTTTCATAAGTTTTCGACTCCACAGGACTGGCCCAAGACAATATACTGCCTGGGTCGAAGACACTCCACCGGCAGAGAGAGACATAATATATCTCTACCCCTCCCATATATATATATATATATAGATATGTCTATATCTATCTCCTGGGGGCAAAGGGAAGGCTAATAAAGGACCACTCTAGGCACCCAGACCACTTCAGCTTAATGAAGTGGTCTGGGTGCCAGGTCCAGATAGGGTTAACCCATTGTTTTATAAACATAGCAGTTTCAGAGAAACTGCTATGTTTATCAATG